GGCACCCTAGCCACTGAGCTATGGGGCTCCCAGCTTAATTTATTTTTTATCATCTCAGGCCAGAGGACTAGTGTTTCTGACACCACAGGTGACTTTGAGGGTCTTCCTTATTTTTAGTTTTTCCCTTTTTATTTCCTTTTTTTTAAAAATTAAGACCAGTCAGGTGCAGTGGTGAGAAGGGCAAGAGTAGAACAGAGGCAGAGCTGCCGTGGTGAACAGTCGCTGGGGACAACTCGCCGCCTTCCGCCGGGCTGGCTCTTCCTATTACATCTTTTATCTTTGTCTTATTTTTAGGAGCGATTTGTGTGTTAGGGCGTTAACCCTTCTCTATCATGGATGTTATGATGCTCCAAATGTTTCCTTCAGCCAGATATTTGTTTTTATCACATTGTGTCTGGCATCTAATGTTATTCAGAAGTAATTTTATTTGGTGTGTCTATCTTGTCCTTTGTGGTCATCAGACTCGGTACAATTTTTAGAAGTTCAATCCCACGTCCAATGTGATGTAAATTTCTTCTATATTTTCTACTAATCTTTCTGTATTTGCATATTTTAAGCTTACTAACTTAATCCACCAGAAATCCATTTCAGGTATGGTGTGAGTACGGGTTTGTGTATTTGTTAGAACTATTTTGATTGCAACTGACAAAAATCCAACTCAATCTCTCTTAAATCAGAAGCCAAGGGAGGGAGAGAAGCCCAGAGGACCCCGGGGCCCCTGCAGAGACTCTCCAGGTGGAAGTGGAGAATCACTCCTAGTCAGGGCAGCTGGACACCTTCCCTCACCAATCCCATGTGCTCTAGAGTTAAGAGGTAGATGTTAAGAAGACTGGTCTAGAGATTTCTGAAGCCAAAGGGCATGGGAATTGTCCCTAGTGTGATGTACCTGGGAAGAGCTGGAATCTCCCTGGTCTTCACAGCCCAGAAAGCTGTGGGAGGGAAGCTGGGCACTTTTCCAGGGTAAGGGACATAGGGTTGGGCATCAGAGCCCTAAACTGCCCAGTTACCTGCTGGAGCCAAGTGCTGAGACAGTTGCTTCAGAAAACTGTTTGCGGACATTAAATGCCACCCCGAATAGAGGAGACATGATCCTAGGAAGGACCCTCCTAAGGGGATCCTGGGGGCAAAGGAGGACCCCTCCCCAGAGAAACACATTTACTGGTTGTTTAGAGACCACAGGTATCAGCAGGGGCCCCCAGCATCAGACAGAAGCCGACTAAACCTCAGGGTGTGCAGGGGATCCCCAGCCCCACAAGACAGTTAGTCATATGGGTAATTTCTTGGGTAATTCTCCAAGGCATTTTACCTATTTCAAAGAGCTGGGGCTTGTGAAAAGAAGGGGCATTTTCTCAGTGCCAGACCAGGATGCCTGTGGCCCCTGCCCCTGAGAGGGAGCAGCTATGAACCTAATTTCTTTTATTACTATTTTCCTTGCTGTGCCTTTAAATAGTAGTGGTAGTGGCAAAAATAAAAGAAGATAAGAGAGCTGGGGAAGAAGGAAGACATGGAGGAGAGCGGGGAGGTGGCAAGAGCTGCAGGAAGCTCCAAGGTCATAAATCAAGTCAGGTATGCAGCTACAGTCCAGGTGGCAGCAACCAATCAAAAGTCCACACACTATCATTCCAGCTAAGACCCTAACCACGGAAAGGCAGTTAGCCTATAGAAACCCCAAGACCTCCCTAGTGACCAATGAGTGACCAGACACTAGCTTCTTCTTCAGCTGTCTTCCTCAGCATTTTATTGCAACCCATAGTACTTTGCAAAGTGTATAAAAGTTTCCCTGGCCTTTGTTTGGGGGCCACTCCCCGCTGTTCTGCTTTCCTCTTGGGAGTGACCCAAGCATATGCTTGATAAGAATAAACTTCTTGCTTCTTCCATGTCTGAGACTGGACTCTCAGTGGTAATAATTTTGGCCCTAACACCCCTAGCTCCCCCAGCCTCCAGCTCCCCCTGCCTCCAGCTCCCCCAGTCTCCAGCTCCCCCTGCCTCCAGCTCCCCCTGCCTCCAGCTCCCTCAGTCTCCAGCTCCCCCAGCCTCCAGCTCCCTCAGCCTCCAGCTCCCCCAGCCTCCAGCTCC